AAAAGAAAACATTAAATATTTTCTTGGAATATGTTCCTGGTGGATCAGTAGCTACAATGCTTAACAATTATGGACCATTAGAAGAACCCCTAATTAGATCATTCAACAGACAAATCTTACAAGGATTAAATTATCTTCACGAAAAAGATATCATTCATCGTGATATCAAGGGTGCTAACATTTTAGGTAAATCATGTTCCCAAGTTAATGGCCTTCCATTCGTTCTCGCTTAATAAGATTTCACGTGACTTTATTCATATCCTTCGAAATTTTTTTTTTTTTATTTATGTAGTTGATAATAAGGGTGGTGTCAAAATATCAGATTTTGGTATTTCAAAGAAAGTTGAAGATCGTAAGCACTATTTATATAAGTGAATTCTTCTCGCATTTGCAATCAATTAATTAACTTTTTTTGTTATCAGAAATTATGGCGACATCCTTAAGTAGGCCTTCATTACAAGGGTCCGTATTTTGGATGGCACCAGAAGTTGTTAAGCAAACATCTTATACAAGCAAAGCTGATATATGGAGTTTGGGATGTTTGATTGTGGAAATGTTTACGGGAACTCATCCGTATCCACAATTTACTCAAATGCAAGCAATATTCAAGGTAATATATATATATATATATAATACTGATTCATTAAATATTGTTCTATTTGATAACGATTTTTATAATTTAGATTGGTGTTGAATCTATTTCACCAGAGATTCCTGAAAATATATCAAATGAAGCCGAAGACTTTCTGAAAAAGACATTTGAACCGTAAGTAGTACCTACTTCACCGCACGGTTTAGGGTTGTTTCTTATTAACCTTTAATTTTTCTTGTCGTTACAGGAATCATGATGACAGGCCTACGGCTAAAGCTCTTTTAACTCATCCATTTTCTGCATCAACGTCAAAATCTAATGTACAATTATCACCTTAAATTTATCATTATCATCAAATATCTTTATTTTCACTTGCATAACCTTTTAAAAAAAAAAATAATAATAATTATAATTCATCTAGACAATAATAGATTCCTGTGCCTAATAATGACACTCTGTAAATTATGTCACGTGAAAAATGAATCATTTAAAGATGTTCATTTGTAATTCAAAACCAAAAACGAGATATTTATCCGCTTTTTGGAGGATATAGATTATCTAAATTAAAGTTTATATTAAAAATTATATTTGATACTAAAAAAATAATTAAAAATAATTGATCATCTTATCTTAACTGTTTAATAATTATGATATCAATAATTAAAAATTAATTGTTACAGATTAATAAATGTCGAGAGGATAACTTGCGATGCAATATAGGATCATAGCGTTCCATTTAGTTAGTTAAAATGGGAATTTAAACCAATATAAATGAGGTGGGCAACTGCATGTGAAGTCATATTGATCACAGATAAGAGTTAGCATGAGAAATTAAAAATCGTGCTACGAGAGATTAAAGAAATTTTTTTAAAAGAAATTCCTTTGGGTGATTTTCTCTAATGATGCATACGAGGTTTCTCGGTTATTTTTCCTCCTTAATTTTATAGTCAACCAAAAATGGAGAATTAAATCAAGGAACCTAATTTGATTGCCCTAGATGGTAAGGTGGTTTGCGTAATTCCTTGGTTACAATTTTTACATAATTTTGGCCTAAAATTATAAAAAAAATTATCTATAATTGGTCAACTAACACATACGGGAAAGAATTTTGCCCCCAAAAAAATAAATTGTTGCATATAAAAAAAAAAAAATCATCATATTTTTAAACAAGTATAATATTGAAATTCTAAACCAAATTAGTAATTTGTTTGTTTCGACTTGGCTTTGTTTATACATCATGAGAATATTAAAATGACACCCAACTTTTCTAATTTTGATACACAAATGAATTATTGGAGTATCAAAAAACCTGTTTATAACAGGATTTATCATTTAAAGTTTCATATTAAAAAAAAAAAAAAACCCAATGTTACTTAAAATTTTTACAAACAAATGTTTTTTTCTTAAAACAAAAATATTTGTTCACAAAAGTAATAGAGAAATCAGGTTTTGCCTTTTTACCTAAACTAAATTGGGAACAATGTCCCAGGAAAAAAAAAAAAAAAAAAAAAAAAAAAATGTGAAATTTATTTAACGTTGAATTTTTTTCTTTCGTAATACTTTACGTTTTTTGCGTGACGAAAAATAAAATAAAAATAAAATAAAATAATCAAAACAAATAAAATAAAATAAATAAATTTCTTGACCCAAAAAGTTATCCCGTAAACAATATACCATAAATGATAAATTGTTTGTTGCCTGCTTAGCATTAATAATTTATCATGTAATAATAATAAAAAAAAAAAAAAAAAAAAAAACATTTAAAATTATATTAGGTATCATTTGCATTTCCCTTTTTTTTTTTTATGAAACTATTTTTTATGATTCCAATCAATATGATTTTCCTTTTTCGGAATAGGATTAAATGTTACAAACGGCAAACTAAAAACAAAGGGTACGGAGGAACCGATTCATTGAGGTCATTGGTTCGTTGGCTTGACAATTGACAATTAATTTGGGGCATATATGCGGATGATAGTATTAAACAGTGAATATGGTTTGTTATTTCATCCGGAGTATATTCGGATACGCTTGGGCCACGTGTTACTCACCATCATTGGTTTTCATGTCCTCTTTCTCTCTCTCTCTTTTCTTTAATCTAAAAAAAATCTAAAGTAAACATGATTAATATATTATGATAAACACCAATCATGATTCAAGCATGTCGGCAATATGTGGTAACCAGATCGAATCCAGACTTTCAATTAAATTTTATCGAGTCATGCATAAACATAGAGCCATCAAAATGACATAACAATAATAAAATTTATTATATTATTATTATTATTATTATTATTATTATTATTATTATATATTATTTTTATTTTATTTTATTATTGTTGTTTTTTTTTTAATTTTGTTTTTTTTTTTTTTTTGAAAGTAAAACAAATTCCATTCGATTTTTATTGGTTTTTGAGGGAGGATGTTCCCCTCGATGTCGTACGCATGTACAATATCATCACTTTCTCAGATCTGGGCTGAATAATTGGTGTAACCCAATAACCAGTGACTTGGAATGTAGACGGGAGTTCTCCATTTTTAGCTAATCATTATGACCCTCGGAAGAGTAGAAAGAGGAATGAAGAGGGTATTTAATTAATGCATAGTAATGCTAAGGTAATCAGTATTTTTAAACCTAGACGTTTAAATAAAGTAACGTAATCAGCATAACAATGAGCAAGGTCTCGGGAGATTTTTGAGGAAAAATGGGGAAATATGTATATGCCCTATTTATTCTCTTTTCGGAAAAATCATTTTATTTTTTTTTGCCTCGAGATGGGGGGGATGGGAGGACGGACGGTTTTTCAAAACGATTACGGTAATGCGGAAATGAACATTATAAGATATATTGATCTATTGATAATATACGAGGGGTGCATCAATATAACAAAAAAAAGTAATATTTATTAAAATTTTTGTAGGTGCGTTAAGGTTAGAAGCTGTGGCGTAAATAAAATAAATATTTTTTTTTTTTTTTGTTTTAAGAAAATGGTCTTATTATCGGGTATGCACCATTTTTTTTTTTACTATTTTTATTCCTTGGTCAAATTTTAATTTGTTCTTTCAATTCCCATTACGGTATTTAATAAGTCACGAGCTGATCAAATGAGATGCTAAGAATAGAATGATGCGGATCAAAAAAAAAAAAAAAAGAAAAAATTTTAATCCGGGTCCGTTGTGCGCTTTAATTATTTACACTTACATAAAAAATATTTGACATGAAACGTCTCAAAAAAAAATTATTACATGGACACATATTCATGGAATACACCTATCAAGGTTCATAGAAGTAATTTAAAACTATTAAAATCCTCATACTTTTTGACGTAAAATCAAAAATTGTTTCATCACAAAAAAAAAAAAATTATTATTATTATCACGCGAGGATTTAAAAAAAAAATCTCTGGTTTATTTAGGACAAGATTTTCTCATAAATAAACAAATTATATATATATATACTTATACCTAAATGGTAACACAATAAACATCGGACTTACATTACTTTTTTTTTTTTTGGTATTTTAAATGGAATTGATTATTTTTTTATGGCCGTGACACATGGCGGGGAAATAATAAAGCTTGCAGTGAAAACACCAACAAACGATTGCTACTATACGACCAATAAAAAATGAAACAAAAGTTGTACGTCAAAAGCTCGGAATATGCTAAGAAAAACGAAACAGAATTTACTTCAACTTCTAACGTAGGTATTGGCATTAACGTGAAAATAAAAAGTGCGAACCATGAACCTCTTTTAATATATGCCGAATAATTTATCGCCAGAGATCTTCGATAAGCAAGCACATAAATTGTCTGTGCATGCCAATGTTGGATTAATTTTCATCCTTTTTTCTCTTCTTTTTTTTTTTTTATTGCTCGTCATATATGATGTTATGTTTTCAAGGCAGAAAAAGCCCTTATTTTTTTTCCTTCTCAGCCATGTGGTGGCTTGTTTCAAGAACCTAATAACACTCCATTTGTCAGATAATAAAGTTGTTTATTAAGTCAGTCAATGGAGTATGGCTCGTTTTAGAGTACCATAGAGATCTGCATCGTATAATTTGTAAGCCAGTTCTAGAAAATTGATAAGTGAATTTCATTGGTTTTTATATCCTTAATACATTTATTTATGTGATTACATTATATTTCGAACCTAGCCTAATAAGATTCGGCTATTGCCGCCTCGTAATGACGTTTCAATAATTTATGTTTAACTAACACTAGGATCTGATAAAGGTTCGTGTAACATACGTTTTCGATTTTTTTATAAAAAGACAAATAATACGAAAAAAAAAAAAAAAAAAAATTAGATTTCTTTTTTCTAAAGCTCTCTCGCAAAATATAATTTTCAAAAAAAAAACAACAAATAAAAATAAATATTCTTTTTTTTTCGCAAAATTTGCCAAAGATGGAAAATTGTTATAACTTGCAATACGTCCAATCGCCACTAGACGCGCCTCATATCTCAGATTACGACGCTATCTCGAATCATGTTGACCAAGGAAATCAGGTTAACCAAGCTTTATTGTATGATCAAAACCTTGTCATGGTAAGTGAAGGAAAAAACAAAAAAAAAGAACTTTTCACTTTTTTTTTTTTTTTTTAAAAAAAAAAAAAAAATCTTTATGATCATCGTCAATAATTTTTTTTTTTTCTTTTTCATTTTCTTCCTTAGGGATATATGCCAGCACAATACGATCCAGTTATTCTCGATTTAAGTTCGTCTGCCATGGTAAGCAATAATTTCATTTTGATTTTTTTTTTTTATTTTACTTTATTTATTTTTTTTGCAAAATCTTAATCCTTTATTCTCTTTTTAGTCATCTCCTCCGATCTCGGTTTCTGGCACCTCCTTCCTTGAGACTTACGAGTTGGATTTAAAACCAGTGCATTTCACTACACATCCTTCTCCGCCCATGGTAAATGTCTTCATTGTATTATGTGATACTACTTTTTTTCCCACGCATCCAAATCTAACCATTTTCCGACCTTTTTTTTTTTTCCCGCACAAAAGTCATCACCCATTAGCGACCAAGCATACGGTAACGTTGACCCAGAAAACAAGGAAGTCAAATCAATGACACACGAGCAGCAGCAATACGAACAACAACAACAAAACAGCGTCAGCGCTGAAACTGCGGAGGACGTCAAACCCATTTATAAAGCTCAACAACAATTCCCGTCACCGCCAACATCGCCTTCTGCGCCACATGCATCTTCTACCTCAAAAGATTCATCCAAAGTGGCAATTAAACGTAAAAGGATCACAAGCTACGTTGAAGGCGAAGATGATAAGTCTGTAAAGAAAGAGGAGAATAACGGCAATGAACCCATCTATGTCAATCCCAAGCAGTACAGAAGAATTCTCAAACGAAGGATCGCTCGTGAGAAATTTGAGAGGAAACATAATCTATCCAAAGAAAGAAAGGTGTGTTGATGCTTTATTTTTATTTTAATTTATTCTTTTTTTTTTATGATGATAAATTAACTCTAAAATTATTTGTTATGATTCTTTTAGCCCTACATTCACGAGTCTCGACATGTGCATGCCTTACGCAGACCACGAGGACCTGGTGGTAGATTCTTGAACGCTAATGAAATGGCAGAAATAGAGAGACGAAAGAGCCTTAATTCAAATTCATCTTCTTCTACATGTGTGTCTCCAACCACACCAACTTGCTCTACACCGTGTTCAACACCTTCTTGTTCTACCCCCACTTGTCCTACGCCCACTTTTGTAACCTCTCCCGCCATCTCCTACATAAATCCTAATCACTTTCCAAGTGGTATTGCAGGTTATGTATATGGTAACCTTGAATCCTGGGATACGACTTGGGATATGAAAAATCAAAGTTATTTTCCAGCAACCGTAGGACTCGTAGATTCGTATCAGATAAATACACCATCGAGCGTGTATGGACAAGATTTCAATTTTTCGCAATCGCAAACAGCATCCCCCGCACCGGGAATATTTTATAACGATATTTCGTTAACATCAACCATGAATGAAAATAACCTTCATGCGTGGGAATATTAGAATTATTCCTTCTTCGATACTTTTTTTATAAAAAAAAAAATTTTTTGATGTATATATCATTCATAAACGCAACCAACCACCAACTACAACCAGAAAAAAAAAAAATCGATTTATTGAACTACTCGAAAGTTTACAAAACATTTAATCGTTTTTTCATTTTCATTTAAACAAAATTTTATTTTCATTTCATCGTAAAAAAAACTTCATAGAAATTACATTAGAATCACAAACACAAACAAAACAAACACAAACACAAAAAAAATGTAAATTACAATTCAATAGACATTTCGAATTTCGTATTTTCACGTAAGATTATTTTATTAACAAATCTTTTGATAAGATTACCATTTAAGAAAAAACAAAATCGTTGCCTAGATTTTCATTTCATATTTGCCTCGAAACAATAGTATTAATTTTTAAGATTTTTTTTTTTTTTTTTTTTGCCAGTGAAAAAAAAAAAAGAAAGAAAGAAAAACAAACCATAAGCAAATTAAATTTAAGTTTTTATTCCCCTTAGAACACAAATAATAGATAAAAAATTTTTATGATTCACTTTAGATTTATTTTAATTCTTTTTGCATTTCATCATTAAAAAAAAATAGAAATCATTTTAAAACGAAAATTTTTCAAATAAAAAACTTCGCCAAACTTTTTTTTTTTAAAAACAAAAAAAAAAAAAGATAAAACCTTATTTCGTGTACTTTAATTCTTTATTTTTTGAAATTTCTCTTTTGTTCTTTTTTTTTCGATAATTATATTTTTTACTTTCGTAAACCGCGAATAAAGTCTCGATAACGAATTTCCAATATACTGTATATTAAAAAAAAATCTCACGGTTTTTTATTTTTTTTTTTTGATTTGTAACGTAATTTTTATCAAAACCATTCAAGTAAACCACGATTGACGTATCTTTCTTTGAAACAAATACATACAGACTCTTTAAATCCTTTATTTAAATCTGTAAGATGCCAAATCATTAAATTAATTAAATTTAACCTTTTTATTTTTTTGAATTCCATACAAAACGTTTGTAACAGAAATTGATCATCGTCTGAATTTCTCGGGAATCCAGAGACGCGGTTGTCACATCCGAAAATTTCAGGTAAATACCAATGTCTGAATTTAAATTTCAAATAAAGTTCCAGAAATTTCCGTATCTTGAATTCCAAATTCAGATTTAGTTACTAACAAATATTTGATTATTATTATTAATGATCCGGATATGATATACTGTATATTAAATTTTTGATTACATGAAATGTTGTATTCATGTTACTTAACCAACCTTTTTTGATATTTAAGGGACCAAGCCTTGTGATACAAATCATGAAAATTCGTATCTTTCCGTTAAAGGAAAAAATGTTCATCATTCATCATCTCACATAAAAAATGATAAGCTCGTAACACCGCAGAAGAATTTCTCGTTAAACCTTTATCGCATTTCATTTTTTAGATCGCAAATCTTTTTCACCATAAATTAATTGTAAATTAACTTGCTTATTATTATTATCATCCGCGTAAACAAATAAATTTTACGCCGATTCGTTTGAAATTACATAATGACAGAGAAACTCGGTAATACATTGAGGAACAAATAAACTGAATGAATTAGGTCGAGATGGTTATACAGGTGACCTTTTGGTACGCCTTTTTAATTTTCATTCGTTATCGTTGATGAATAAAGATAATGTAAAATGATAGTGAGAAAATGTTTAAAAAACACAAAGTATTAAATAATAATTAATAATTACCGCATGAAATTACAGATGTCATGATTTAGAGTTGTATTAACTTGTTATGATGTGATTTTTAAAAAGGTGGTGTTCTTATTGTTGTATGACAAGGTAAATTCGAAATCATACCAATTAGAAGATTTGAATCATTTCATACCGAATTTATACAAGATATCAAATAAGTGGTAGTTATATATGGTTATCAGATAAAAGAATTACTGGGAAAGTTTTTTTCTTTTTTGAATTTGGTATCACCAGGTTCAAAAATGAGTCATTTTTTTTAAGATTTTACAATGAATATTCCTGTTTTTTACTTGTGTTTGGATTTATTTATTTTTTACGAATCAAAAAAAGGGTAAACTAAAAAAAGGTTTTGATTAAAATCTATTTGCTTACCATTATTATTTTAATATTATGTACAATTAACTACACTTTACTGGTACACACTAACGGATTCCGATGTTTTTTTTCTACCAATGAATCTTATCCGAGGTGCAGGACGGCTACCTCATTATCTCAAGAACATAAATAGAATCCCGTTAAAGAGCGGGATTATATGGGATAACGTATAACCTGATTTTATTTTTAATTCGGGAATAAAAATTACGGCGCTGATCACAAAAAAAAAAAAAAAAGGTTCGTACACTTAACGGAAACATATTCCCTTAAATCATACATTTGATTCACATAATCAAATGAACGAATATTTGAACAACACTGTTAAAATATGAAAAGGAGTTTGATGTGACGGTTTCAACCATTTTGGATGTTCAAAGGATTTGTTATTTCAATTCCTTTGGACAAGATCCATTTCGAAACCTGTACTTCCTAGTGTGATTTAAAATGGGAATTAAGGGCTTTTTTGGCAGAGAAAAAAAAGGAGCATGCACCACGCAATTCCTTATCGATAATGATGTATTTTTTTTTTTGTGATGTATCAATCATTTGCTCGTAAAATCTGATCCCATTATAAGAAAGTACAGATTATAATAAATAAACAAATCGGATTATAATAAAATTCTGATAGTTGATTTCCTTTTTTTTTTTTCTTTAAATTGTATCATGTGTGGATATCGTGTCATGGAACCAAAAGAGATCATAATTACGTGTAGAATTGTTGGTCAATACATTGGAAATTTATTCATCATCTTGTGATCAAAATAATCAAAAGGCATGTGATCAAGAACCAAGTCGCTTAAATAAAGAGTATAGTAAGTACGTTTAAAGGATTGGTCATTAATTAGGTGATGAAAGCAACCTTTTTTAGTCAAAGGATATTTGTAAGTCGATAAATAATTTGATATTACTAGATTATATTTATTTTGTACGATTATTTACAGTATTTACCATTTTATGATTTATTTTTTTTTTTTTACGATTAATAATAGATTCCTTTATTGAACGCGTAAATCCATCATGATCCATTTTCCAAAACTTGCCGTTTCAGATTTCCATCTTCCTTGTGGTGTCATTTCGGAAAATGGTACACTTTTCCCCCTTTTTTTTTTTTTTTAAAAAAAAAAAAAAAAAAAAGGAAAGCTCCAATTGACATCTTTAAAGCTGTAGCGCAAAAAAAAAAAAAAAATTATCGTGTTATACATACACACTAAAGTTGTCTAAAAGGAAGGAACACGAATGGGGGTTGATGTTAAAAAATAATGTGTTTTGCTTATGAAACTGGAAAGTGTGACCAACATATTTTTTGTTGTGCCTAAAGGAATTTTATCGTGTAATCAAATCAAATTATTTGTGAGATGATTACGAAATCATTTTTTGACGAGAGAGCTCATCAAAAAAAATCATTTAATGACTAAATTTGTTGAAGAATGGGATGGGAAATAATGCGGCCGATTCCTTTTTAGGCATTTTTCTAATTTTGGCTCAAAATAAATTATCATCACCCCACCTTCAACTTTTGATCGTTTCGGCTGACCGAATCATTAAGCTTTTACACAACAGCTAGCCCGAAGGTTCTCTAAGATGACGGCAATCAGCGGCAGCACCGTGTTTTAGAACCATCTTTGTTGTCACTTTATTAAATTTTAAAAAAATTTAAATTCCAAGGGTATTGTCCCTTGAATCTAAAACTCCTAATTCACACCTCGCAAAAAAAAAAAAAAAAATATATATATATTTTTGTCAGGACCTCACATGATCATTTTGGTTAAATGTCAATGTCAAAACAAGGAGGTTGTGATTGGGGGTTTTTTTTTTCAACCAATCTCTTTGGGTGTAACACATTTGAAACATGAATCGTACACGTTGTGCAGTATGTGTTTCTCGGACGTTTTCCGGAAATTATTTTTTTCTTTATTCATGAGTATCAATGAAACAAATTGGCAACGCTAAATTAACAAAAATTTATTTTCAATAGAAAAATTTGTAATAATCTATTATGAATAAGAATAAATAAATAAATAATTTGATTTTTTATTATTATATTTATATTTATATTTAAATATATTGATTTTTTATTTTACTATCTACAAAAGTTTTTCTCAAATTCAATTATATATATATTATATATATAAGGAAAATTAAAAAATTGATAATGTATTTATCTATACAAGGAAAATATATATTGGTTTTATGAAAATTATGTAAGAATATCTGCAAGAAAACGAAAGGATGCGAAAATTTTTTCCATTTTTTAAGCTTTCTTCTTCTTTTTTCCTCTTCGAACAACTTTCCATTCTTCTTCACCCCCACTACTGGTATTACTACTGGTATCGCTATTATCCTTTCCAACACAAGCAAAGGCGTGCACAGTACTACTCCCTCTCCTATGTTGTTTAATATTATTATTCTGCTGTTGAATATTATGTTGTAAATGATTTTGCTTTTCTATTAGCGATGAGGATTCTTTCTGTTGTATGCGACAACTTTCTACTTCAACTTGACGTGATTCATCCGCGTTGGACTCTGAGTCATTTTCTGTAGATTCAGAATATCCGTCATCATCATCATTAACATCCTCTTCTACAACAACAAAAGTTTTCTGTCTCTCTCGCTCATTCCACCTTAAACATCTGGAGATTGAATTAAACCAATCTCGCGATTGGGTCTCCAAACAAACTGTCGGGAATGGGAATTTTGATGGTGTGACTTTAATATGATCTCCCTCTGTAAGTTAAAAATATTATTTTTTAGAGTCGATGTTCGTAAAATACTAAAAATATATATATATTTATTTAATTCACTCACGTCTTAGTTCGGTTCTGTTTCTTCCGTCAAAACTTGCCCATGCGGTACTACGGCTATTATATGGAACACAGATCCTTAGTTCCATAGAATCGGGAAGCAACATTGGACGGAATGATAAAGTGTGAGGGCAAATCGGTGTTAAAAGAAATGCTGGTATTTCGGGATGTACCAATGAACCACCGGCTGATACTGAATACGCGGTCGAACCGGTAGGTGTTGAAACTACAAGTCCATCTGCTTGCACTGTTGTTAAATGTTGGTCGTCACCTATGTAAAAAAAAAAAAAAAAAAATTAGTAAAGGGAGAAAAAAACCCAGTCAAAGGGAGGGATATATCATAATAAGTGGATGTTTTTACCAAATAATTCCAACAAGCTCATGTATGGACCAGCACCACGATCAACCACCAAATCGTTTAGCACTTCAAATGATTCGACAGGTTGGGTGGTTACACAAGTTAAATCTCTATCGTGATTACTTTTATGTTTACCGTCATTCCAAATTGAAATCGACCCTTCACCATCTTTTGGATTTTGGATTATAATCTCTCCAGTTTCGCCACATCGTCTTGCTTTACTTACGGACCCAGAATGATGTACACGACGGTAAACTGTACACGTGAATCGCATACGCATATTCACCCCAAATCCTTTTTCAATAACGTTGGTTAGATGAGATTTATAATCTTTAAAATTAAAGTTTGTCAGGAAACCCAAAGATCCTAAATGGAATGGTAAAACTGGTGGGACGGTCTTTTGGAATAACCATGATGTGTATAAAACGGTCCCATCTCCTCCGAGCTAAATGAGGCACATGTGTCAATTCATTTCATTGATTTGGGTTTAAAATTGAAAGTATTGTCAAGAAAGTTGGATAACTACCGTAAGAACGAAATTAAAGATTTCGGCTCTTTCGGCACACAATTCGATGGTCCAAAATTTCAAATAATCCTCAACCAACGGAGAGGAATTTAACAATCCTGGGAAATCGAATCTTTCGGAATTCTTTAAATTCTTGTCCACATACACTGTCACACCATGACCTTTTCCGAAGCGAGGGGTTGTTATCAAGTGCAAAGCCAATTCACGCGTCAAGTTGATTAATCGTATGTCCCCTGGCTTTGTGACAATCATTATAGTCTTCACTTCGCATTTTATTCGTGCCTGACCTACGTAATGGTAAATGATAATGGGGATTAATAATTTCAAAATGAAAGAGCATTCTTGAAAAAGGTCAGTGTTACAAACCAAGCTTTTTTGAGATCTCGCGTACGCCAACGGCGGTTTCGGCCAACTCTGAATAATCGGCCGGTTGATTTTCACATCTATCCATAATTTCTTGAAGAGGAGAGGCAAGTGTGGGATCAAATGTAGAATGAACGAAACATGGAGATTTTGGAGTCGGTGAAGGGGTGGGCAAATTTATATTTTTTATGGTGCGTGATAATGTTAGGCTATTATTCCTATTCTTTGCCGTCTTATTGTTATGAGACTTTTTCTTTGGAACCATGAGTGTATTATTATTAACCATAGAAGTGGTAGATATTGTTGTACCGGACATTTTTTTTTTTAAATTTTTTTTTTTTTTTTTTTAAAAAAATTTGATTTCTAATATAATAATTTATAATCAGCTTAATAAAGGCTTAGATTTTATACACAATACGTTAGTCGATTTTTTTAAAAAAGGGAGTAAAAATTCCTAATTCTGTCAATATCAGAGTTTGAAAGTTGGAAGTAAAAAAAAACTAAACCCAAACGTATGTTTTTATATAAAAATTTAAAAAATGCACAAAAATCTAAATATATATATAATAAATTTCATCAATAAACAAAACCTGTTGTTTATCTCGGAAATTTATTCAATAATAAAGAGTGTGAAAAGAGAAAGAAAAAAATTCGAATTTAGGTAAATTTATTGTCTATGATTAACAAGTAGGAGAAGGTACATGCGTGAGAGAAGCATTCTGCACAGGGTTTTTATATAATTTCGAGATAAGAAACGCGCGGAACAAATTATCGGGCTTTTTTTTTTTTTTTTTTTTTTTTTGTTAAAAAGAAAATGGAAAAAAATTTATCTTTAAAACCTATGAAGTTGATCAATGCAGTGTATCGGAGTCAATGTATCACAACGTAATGAAAACTATCATCTACAAAGATCGCTAATTGAAGAGTTTTGGTCAGTAAATTGATTAATCCTTAGCTTTTGCCCATCCCGTTTCGGTAACTTTTATCAAAATTGAAGGAACAAAGACCTTCCGGATTTAATTGCTTTCGTGATACGCGGGTAAGTTCCTTTTGATTGACATAATAAAACGAATAAGTTTGTGACAGTCTAGATTAAAAAGAGACATTTTTTTCTGCATCCTAAAAACTTTAATAAATCAATTAATAATAATTAATTTCTTTTGATAATAATTGTTTATTTACTCTCGCAGAGGGTAAGTTTCACATTTGCGTTTCAAAACTTTTTTTTTAAATGAACTTTGCAAATTTGATCATTTTGATTTACATTTATGGAAACTGAGAGATAAAGAATTTGTGAACTTTTAATTAAATAACATTTTCACAAAGAAAAAAAAAATACTGGGGTCTGACCTTTTGAGAAACTCGTTTAATTTCTCGGTGACAGAATCTGACAAATCTAGATATATAATTTTTTTTTTTTTTTTGTCCGATCCGAAAATTACCTCGATTTCTGCACCCAAACTTTATTCTTACCCCAAATTCGGTATAAGGCGTTTTCTTGTTGTGGATAAAACGAGTCAAGCCGCATCACATTTCAGTCAAATGTGGTACCATATAAAAATTTAAAATTAGAGTTTCAATTCAAAAATTTGATTGATTCAAAATACTTGCTTCTTTTCCCAAATATTTTTTTGTATCCACTAGTTTTCATGAATTGTGACTAGAAAAGGTTTACCAAACTTTTTTTTATTTACATTGTTTTCACAATACAAATTGCTTCGTAACTTTGTTAATAAAGTTATATATTGTTATAATTGTTCATTCATCTTTGTAATATCATCCGTAATGTGATATTAATAGTAAACGTCCCAATATGTTTTTTTTTTATTCTTGAAATAAAAAAATCAAATACCATATCAACCGAATTTAAGGATCGACAATGTATTTCAAAAAAAATCAAAAAACCAACTCGTTTATAGTTTTGATTAACAACCAAAACGTTTCATGAATTATAAACGTTTGAAATTATTGTATCACAACTTTAAATGCATCAAGTATATAAATAAAAATTTTACCAAATTAAGATCATTTTTTATTTTTTATTTTTTATTTTATTTCTTTTTAAAATCATTATGTCTCTATTAAGTTTCTTGGAACATGTAAATAATATTAAAACATTTTTTAAATTGTTGTCAAATCTTAAATTTAGATCCTGTTAAATAATCTAAACTTTCTTTTTTTTAGACTTCAATATGGTCGGCTTTATTAACATTGTGTTTATTAAGCTACACGAGAACTTTTCACGTTGTGTTTACCATCGCGGGCGGAGCATTTACAAAAGCAACTGGTGATTGATCAAATTATTTTTAATCAATAAAAAAAAAAAATTTATATTAATAAACCCCCTAATTTTTTAGCCAGCACGTTGAAACTAATAATTAGGCAACCTCGTCCATATCACATGACAATTAGGTCTCCGTCCATGACCACAAAACTAAGAAAGTCCTATGGAATGCCATCTTCACATTCTGCCATATCCATTTACTTTGCGACATTCGTATCACTACGATTGTTTGATTCGGGTTTACTTCCTTTATACAAATTACTTTCATCCCTATTGGTTTATATAATAGCTTTATTGATTTTGTGGTCTAGGGTTGAATTGGGTCATCATACAACCGCTCAAGTATTAATGGGTATGTTTTTAGGCATAATTCTGGCCATGTATTGGAATGACTTGTGGGTAAATTATTGGACACCTTTGTTGTATGAATTGAAATTGGATGGTCAATTAGGTCTTGATGAATTGGAAGTTATGTGGAATTTGGTAGATGAATTTATTAACAAGAGAATTGGTTTGACATCTTAAAAATAGATGAATTTAGGCTTAACGGCCCTAGTTTAAACAATTAGAATATCCCTTTAATTTAATTTATTTTTAATTAAAATACTAAAATTAATTTATTTTTCTAACTTCATAATATAAAAAATTTTTAAAAAAGTCCAAACATATTGTTTATCAATTGTGAAATTAAACCTTTTTGATAAAAGATATAAATAATTTTGACTCATGAAACAAGGTAATTTTAAAATGAAACATGCGAATTGATAATCGGAACTTCAAATAATGTTGATTTGTTTTTATATTTCCTCCGTTTCAATCTTCAATAAGATGACAGTTAATGATACACAATCTTATTAAAATTGATTTGAAAAAAAAAGCATGCAATATCAGCCGACAATTGTATGATTTTCAAAGATTTAATTATTATGAAATTTTAAAAAACGGTTGAACAAATTTTCCGAAACGTGATAATTTACCCAAAATTCAAATATTTGACCTAGAAATAACGTATCTCTTCCCGAATTCTCCGCCACCTGATTTTTCGAAATCAAAATCCTTTTTTTCTTCCACAGATCAAAGAAGGGTCGAAAATTTTAACTTACCATTACTTGATAAATATCAATCAAACAATTGGACTGGGGAAGGGATCTCGGCATCAACATAGAGAGATTTTTTACGTTTATTTTGTTTATTTTGCGCTATTTTAAAAGATGATTTCATCATACGTATCATGTGATTTAATAAACTCGTTAATTAGTGTAACTATTATTGTGTGAACTTTATCAATTTTTGGGTCGTTAGGTCCATCAATTTCTTATTAACACAAAAAAAAAAAAAAAAATATGGAAGAATTTCTTTTAACAAAAAAGACCCTTCGTATTGTTAGAATTTCTACTGCATTGTATATACGAGTGGAAGAAGTGCGTTCTTGAAAAGGAGGTGGCGAATTTTGCGAATGTCTTGGAGAAAGTTTTGGAACAAGTTCCTTTAGACAATGTTGAACGAAGAAAGAAACTTCAAAGTTTTGGTACTGGAATGAATTGGCGAAACGGGTTAAGATGATAAATCATTTATAATGAATATGCAGATATGATGTATTTTTTAGGATTTCTAGAAGGTATATATGCTAGTGAATGGGTAATGTCCAAATAGCAGTAGCTAATTATATATACTTTATATCATATATTGATTATTGCCTGGCGTGGAGTTGTTATGATTATGAAAAATCATATTTATTTACAATTATATTTATCGAGTGAGATTAGATTTTTTTTTTTGAAATTTATTTTTCACTGGTAAACTTTCCATTCTTTATCGTTTAATATTTCGGGTTTACCTTCGCCAATAATAGCAATAGCATTTTCTTGACCTTCTAAATAAACTTTTGCAACTTCTTTAACATCATCTTCTGTAACGGCAAGTAACTGCTCACGTCGCCTAAATGAATAAAAAATTTTATTTTTTTTGATGTTAATATAAACACATGCTTTTGTTCTTATTTTAAAAAAATCAAACGTAAATATTATGGAATTCACTTTTGTCTTTGTTCATCGGTGATCTTTTCTGTAAAATAAATCATTCCTTCTTCGAATACACTTGTAGGTGCATCAACGTGTTGAAAAATAGATAATTTTGCTTCATCAATTTCCTAAAGAAAAAAAATAAATAAATACAAAACCTATATAGTCTATATAAAAAAAAGACCAATTAAATTTTAAAATAATACAAAACTTGTTGAGTAAACCTTCTTTCCTCAACCCATTTAATACTATCTTTATATATTTTCAAGGTTTCCAAGGTTTTAGGATCTCTGTAAGAGTAAAACGAAAATATACCAGTTGTCGCATTATACCTTGCCCCTCCTCCGTATGCACCGTTTTTTTCACGAATTTCTCGATGAAGATAATGCGTACCCATTAATGAAGAAAGGATCTAAAGGAAAGATTAATTATATATATAAATACACGTTATTAAGCACATAATCTGTTGAAATAATTACTTGTAGTTTGGCTCCATCAGGATGTGTATAAGGTACACTCTTAAAAGCTTTAGCACAAAAATTTACGGCAAATGGCATAGGGAAGAAAGCTTTTTCATGTGTTGACCGGAAAGCACTCTGGGTGAATTAAAAAGGATTAAAGAAATATTTACAAGATCATTTTTTAGAGTTCAACAGATTAATCTTACTTGCTCAGCAACTTTTGATAAATTTCTTTGAGGTAACTCATTTAAAAATTTTTTTAATGCATTTTCATTATTATTTATAGTTTCTGAACCACAAGTAATAGCTACTTTTAAGGATTCTTTACTAAAAACATTTTCAGCTATTTCCTAAAAAGATCACAAAATGATATTAATATAACTACAATAAATATAAATTGTCTTTATTGTTTTTAAATGAAATATACCTTCAATTTCTGAATTATGGTATCAAAATCTTCAGTACCCGTCAATTTATTCATGAAATGCAGTTGTGTCATACCACCATAAGTTTCTGCTTTATTCTATTATGAAATAAAATAAAGGTTTAGTTGAATCATCAAATAAATATTATTAATCATCTTGAAATAATTTAGTTACCACGGCAGGGGTTAGCTTAGATGCAGCGAAAGTACTTGCATACTGGTGACCATGTTCAACAACCGAATTCATCATGTTAGCTGCATTCTATCACATAAAATCAAAAAAAATTTTTAACAATCAATATAGAATATAGGTCAAATCAAAAGAATCAATTAAAATCAATAATTGTCAAATACTTACAGCAAAAATAATGGTTCTCAATTTATCAACATTATCGAAGTTAGTTTCACATATAAGCTGTTTCATTATATCATACATTTGGTCTGTATTTCTATCGAGACTATGCGACGCAATAACCAAACCATCTTCATATATATTTAAATCTAAAATATATATCATCATATTAGTCATTCGAGCATAAAACTTATCAATATATAAATAATTTATACTTACCAGAATGATTTGTTGATAAAAAAGTTGAAGTACTTATACCACCAGTGTATAATCTTATATCATCATCAATGTCTGCCATAGATCTAGTCTTTGTTCCTAAAGAGGTTAAAGCTTGAGCAAATAAAGGTAAATAGATTCTTAAATCTTCTTTTAACCCTTCGATTTTGCTAATAGCTTTAAAGTACGTTATTCCATTTGTACTTGTATTTCTCCACTGTACTGGACATCCATTCATATCACTAAATCTTAATTCAAATGTTTTCATTTGTTTGTTTATATCTTGTATGTGCAAACTTGGCAGAATAGATAAATCTTCTTTTTCTTCTTGTTTTTTTAATAATTGTATTGATTGTTCATATATTTCTTCTTTTTCTCCTGGTGAAAGTGTTGAAGTTTTAGCTAATAACCGTGATTGCTCTTCTCGTGATAAATTTTCTGTATATGATTGATCGGGCAACATTATTGATATAAGTGTATGTGGATTGTTTAGGAAATATTTCGATACTAGATTTTGAAAGAATGGTCCCGTCCTTAGTTTTTCCTTTAACATTTCAATATTCTAGTATACATATATTTTATTAATTTTAACTTTAATTTTTTTTTTTTAATTTTTAGAAGCTATCATCTCTTATATTTACCTTATTGATTTCCAAAATCTCGGCAGGATTACAGCCATTAAACCACCCTGAGCTTATTAAATGCATCAGTCCTAGACCAAAAGACGAAACTTTCTATTTGGGATCAAAAAATATTTATAAATATGTTGTATCTAATTAATCTAAATGACACGAGACTTACATGTTTAATACTCAATTCCGTTCGGTGTATTGCAGCTTCAATACGTTTTGGATCAAATCCATCTCGATGAATATCTTCCAAAACTTTACTTATTACCTCTTCAGCCTATAATTAAAGAATATTATACTTAAACAATTTGCAAATATATATATATATAATTTTATTTAATAAGCTAATTACCAACGGAACGTCATTCTCTTTCATTCCTTGTAATCCAATACTCATACAGCTTATCCTGCGATCGTAAATCGGTCAAACTTGCGTAAACGCTAAGCAAATATGAATTTCAAATATAATTTACCTAGTTGAAGGATCATATCCAGTGTTTTCGGAAAAATCAGATCCGATATTTGTATCTATAAGTGCTTTATACATTGGAGATGCGTGACCATCCAGTAATAAATAACCAAATATCTTTAAAGCAAAGGTCTCAAAATTATCCTAAATAAACGAAAAGGAAAAATTTTAAATTTGACCAAAATAAAGTAAAATATTCATAAATTCAAAACGAATAATAACATACTGTTATATCATTGGTTAAGAATGATATAGACATTTTGGCCTGCTTATCTGGATTATTTACTATAATCATTTTTAATTAGTCATTATTTCTCAAGTTATTTTTGATTATTTTGATATTTTTAACGCTTACTTGGATCAAAAGGTCCGTATAAAGTAACTCTCCTTGGAGATTCAAATGGGTTAACGACTTTCACACCTTCATCAGGATTAAATTTCCCAAAATCTCTAATTTTATTATCAATTGCTATCAAATGATCTCTTAATGGAAAGTCTCCTATATAATTTATTCAACAAAAAAAAAATTAATAACATTCATTTAACAATAAAAAAAAAAAATCATCATTAAATATACCGTACCATATGTATAAAATTTTGCATTGCTCGGATGATAATGAGTTTTATGGAATTGTAAAAGTTCTTGATATGTTAAATCTGTTATATATTTTGGATCTCCTCCGCTATCAGCTCCATAAGTGGTACCAGGAAACATATTTTCTTGCACTCGAGTGTAGAATAAGTATCCAGCATTTGACTAAATAATAAGAATTGTTTAGAAATGATGATCAAAGTCATAAAATAACATTCTTATAAATTAATTTTTTTTATACCATTTGACCCTTCATTTCATTATACACGACTCCTTTAAATTGTAAAGGGGTTGATTTATCATTAGGCTGCTGATGCTCAAGTCTCCACCCTTCCTGTTTAAAGTCCAATTCTCTCAGATAAGGGTGAAATGTCGCATCCATATAAACATCTCTTAAATTTTCAAAATCAAGTTTGTGTGTAGTTGCAAATGGATAGATCGTATAATCTTTTGCTATAATAGGTGAAATAATCTATTAAAGAAGAATTTCTAAAATGAAAATCAACAAAGTAACTGGATTACAAAGTACTATACCTGTCATAGCATTCATAAAATTTGCCAAACTTCGATTCGACATTTTAAAAAATGGATCTCGCACGGGAAATTTTTTACTTCCACATAGCGTTGTATGTTCCTACATTTTTTACGATTTGTCGATTATATATAGGTGCAAGTATTTTTCAATATTTTTGTTTTTTTTTTATCAATTTTACCAGTATATGAGGAGTTCCACTGTTATTCGTGGGAGGTGTTGAAAACCCTACACCAAATACATTATTGTTATCATTTCTTGCAATATGCAAATGTGAAGCTCCGGTGACTTCATGTATAAGTTGAGTTGCTGTCAATTCAAGCTCGGGGATATGTCTTGTCTAAAAGTGAATAAATAAAATTTATTGTGTTATCATTATAAGGCCGAGCACGAAAATTTAGATTCCCGTAACCCGGTCGTGTAGAAAAAACGTTTACCGACACGGCTGGGTTGTGAGAACCCAAATTGATTCAAGTTCGAAGGATAACATATGACAATAAAAGTATTTTAAATACTTGTTCGACTCGAAATCCATATATCCTATCATTAGGTTTAACCTCTAAAAAATTTAAATATTTTAATTACCAATTTTTTTTTTTTTAAAAAAATAAATTTAACTCTTAAAGATAATCACCAACAATACTCGAGTAGGATTTTTTACAAATGATACTTAATGTTTTATTGTTATAAGGTTGAAGCTTTTGAAAGTTACGACGAATAAATAAAGAGTTCATTTTGAATTTTATTTTTTTTTTTTTTTTTGTTTGTTTGTTAAATATCGATGGATTAAATAAAAAAACCAGATTAATTTATACATTTATGAATAAATTAAAATGCAGATCATCCAAATCGAGGTAAATCAATTGTGAATGTTTTTTTACATCTAGCCTGCGTTATTTCATAAAATTATTTTGATTTCTTAAAAAATGAATTTCATTCATTCATTCTTCTAGATTTTGCTTTAAGCTTCTCATTCTTTCATCTCTCAGCTAAAATGGGGGCATAACGTTAAGGATTACGAATATATAGAACGAAATTATAAAAATTTTATATTATAATAAAATTTTTTGATCAACTATGTACCCGAGAAATTTTTTTTTCAGTATAACATCTCACATAATATCATGTCAAATGATAACAATAAAAACAAAACTATTTGAATTCCTTTTCTATTATCTTTTCTTTGCTTATTACGTGAAAATTTTTTTGATTCTTGGATTATCGTTTCGGTGTAATCGCATATAGTCTTGTGACAGTCCTATTATGAAAAAATGATTATAAAATATTTTAGTATTTCTACTAAGTAAACGAAAGAGTAAGAACACGACCACCCGAATTCAAACTTCTGTAGAAGCCTATATGAAACTTCACCGAATGACGCGTATATTGTACAAACTCGATCCTACCTCTTCAATCAAGGTTGAGTATTTCAGACTATCGTTTTAAATAAATTCCTATCGTTATTATAAAAAAAAAAAATTTTTTTTTATTTAGTATTTCTACTAAGTAAACGAAAGAGAAAGAACACGACCACCCGAATTCAAACTTCTGTAGAAGCCTATATGAAACTTCACCGAATGACGCGTATATTGTACAA